TGGCTTGTTTTACTGCTTGCATTTTATCTTCCTGTAAGGCGATGTAGTATTTACCTTATGTTCTAAGGCTCAGAACTTGGAATTTACCAGTCTTAAGACATAAAATTCTTGCAGAAATTCTCCTTAAAATGTTGGCCCACTTCCCAGTCTTAGTTTTCATTTGAATTAAGTCACCCCAAGAAAGCTCCAACTACTGATTGTGTGGTAACAAGCTTCTCAGCACAGTTGGAGAAAAAGAGTTTCTGATTCTGTTCAGAACTCAGTAACCCACCTTAGACATTTATGACTTTTTCCTCTTCTGCCATAAAATGAAGGTGATAATTCATGTTCCACATTCAACGCACACTCAAGACAAAGTGCTGGGCTCTGGGTTAGGTGATGAGTATTAAAAAAAAAAAAAAAAAGAAGAAGAAGAAGAAGGGAAAGAACGAAGGAAGGAAGGGAGGAAGGAAAGAACTGCCTTGGGGAATCTAGTCCAGAAAGCATCATCTGTGTTGTAAGTAGGGTGGCTGCGGATAGGGCTGGAAGATATTTAAGTAAAGAAAACAAATTTTCACAAATTCTTTGAAATCACGAGCAAAAGCTCTTGTAGATTTAAGAAACTTTTATATAGTGGGAAATTCCCAGAGTGATAGACTGTACTGTTCTGCACTTACATTAAAATAAGATACTGCTCCAGGATTCTGAATTTAGCAGCTGTTGGCATATGTGTCTCTCGCCACACTCATAAAGTTTTCTTAATGTGCAATAACGTAACATACAGCTCATCTCTCCTATGGCTGGATGCATTATTTATAATTAACTAACTTTGTACTATCTTCATGTGTGGAAGAAGCAATAATAGGAGCTATCCATTTTTAGTTCACAGGAAACAAGACTCTATTTATTTTTCATAGTACCATTTACCTACCACCCTTTCTGCCAATGATTTGAATTGTTTAGCTATAGTTCTTGTTTATCTCAACACACTGACAACTGGGAGATGATGCCTGCTCAAAGTGAATTAGCCTGAAAGCTCATCTGAAAATACAGAGAAGTTCGGTGCATCCTGCCTCAGTGCAGATGCGTGCGGTAAAACTAAAAGACCCCAATGTCTGTACCATTCATCTACAAAATGAAAAAGATCATACTGATGTGAATAAACCTGAAAAAAATCAAATGGAAGTTGAAATATTCGCCTAGCCGATGTTAGAGCTCATAATAATTCTCCATGATTCACTTTGCCCTGGCATCATGAGGAACTTTGGATCCACAGAATGAAAGAATACCGGTCCACATATTTTGTTCTGAGAAATGGTCTGCATATTTACTCACTATGTTTACTAACACTAATTCCTTGGTAGTTTCCAAAGTTCCCTTTATGAAAAAATTACAGGAATCTCTGCATCTGGGCTCCTCTTTTCCCCAACTCTAAGGAGGCTGGAACCCACGCTGGGTCACATAGGGCACATATGTGACATTTGCAGGAATTTCTGTCCTTGGAGTTCAGAGGAGAACCCTTGTTTGAGAATGAACCTCAGTGGCAGAGGCAATGCTCTATGGGAGCCCAGCTGTTAAAGGTCCAATTCATTTCAAACACAGTTGCAGTGCTTACAGAAGGGACTGACAGACTGCTAATGACTTGAAGGAATTTTGAATAGAGCACAGGAGTCCGGTGAAATATTAAGCACAAAACAAATGATCTAAGGACTGAATACAGATATAAATCATAGAGTGCTGGAGTAATTCATTCTAATCGGGAAACCTAAGAGATACTTACAGAGAAATTTAAGCATCTGAGCTGAGACCAGGATGATAAAAGACCTGGGGTTAGCTGGGCAGAGGACACCACCAGGAAAAGAATGAGGTTATGGGGGTGCCAGAGCAAAAGCAAATTTGGCCATTTGGACGGAGGTAGGGTTCCCAAGAGGACAAAGTAGAAGAGTGATGAGGTAAAAGCCACATTTCTTCCCCAAGATAAATTATGTGACATTTATTCCACTAGTAATGTAATACCATTTAGTCCTACCAAGAAGTGGTCTAAGCAAGGCACTCGTTTTTTAATGGACGAATCTGTCCGTTTTCCTAAAACGGAATGAAGTTGGAGGGAAATGAAGGTGTTACCAATCCCCAGCTGGAGATGGGCTTGTTCATTTGTGAGGCCTGATGTTTCACTGGATTCCTGTGATTACTAAGTTACTGTGACAGTTGAGGTCAGACCCTGGGTTGGCTCACGCGGAAGCGTAATTTCAGATATCTGTTGAGAAATTCCATATGTAGAATACAACAGGATTCACAGCTGCTCTAGCATATCTGAAGCCTGGAATTGCGCACAGGTGTCATAGTAACTGAGGCACACTGTCCTCTGTTTGTGGGTCTTTACTGAATTTCGGTTTTCATTTCTTTAACGAGAAAGAGATTCCTTCCCCTTGTTTGTCCCACTCCGTCTCATATTTATACTGCCGGATAAATTATTTCAATCAATAAAACTGATTAGTCTTTTTGTTTTCCTCTGATCTGTAGCATCCGTGCTCCTGCAGCCATTCTCATATTAATCCGCTGTATTGATTTTGCCTTTCTAAATGACAGCAACCTCAGCCAAGCTGCCTCTCATACCTTCCCCCCTCATCCATTGCTCTACCCAAGGGTAATTCCTGACATCCCACAGCGTTATCCCGCCTGTCCCCACTTCTCCTAGCATCTGTAATCATGCCCAGAAACTCCTGTCTCGCTCCCGGCCCCAGCACACCAGTGCGCCCCCCGATAACCAAAGGGTAAATAGCAGCAGGACCCAGGCAGCAGTGCGAGGTCTTCAGACAATTGCACTTAACAAATTTCCCCCTCCCCCGGCTCGGATTGCCCACCGCAGCCCGGAACTCACGTGCCCAGAGACACCCACCGACGGGCTTTCGGATCCGGGGATGGGGGGCGCTCGTTCCCGCCCCTGGCCCCGCCCCAGCCTTGTTCTCGCCCCGCCCCGCTCCCTAAATCGCCATCTCGCTCCTCCCTACAGCCCCGCAGCCCTAAGGCCCCGCCCCATCTCGTTCCCGCCCCGCCTTCGGCTCGCGTCGCAGTCTCTCGCCCTGCCCGGGGCCGAGGGCCCGCCCCTGTCTCCGCCTCCGTCTTGCTCCCGCCCCGCCCACCGCTCCCGTGTCCCCCCTCCCACGCCCTTCCCGGGCCTGAGGCCCCGCCCCGGCCCCGCCCCCCGTCTCGTTCCCGCCCCGCCCCCGGCCCGCGTCGCTGTCTCTCGCCCTCCCGGGGCCGCTCGGCCGGAGCTGGCACGGAGGAGCGGCGGCCGCGGCGGCATCGCGGCCTGGGGACGCCAGCGCTCCGCCGGACTCGGCGCCCGCGAGAGCGCCCCTTGCGCGCGGATCTGCCTTCCGGGGTGCTGGGCTGCCCGGAGCGTCCGGCGTTCCCCGAGGGCGGGCGTGTCCTCGCGGCGCGGGGCGGGGGACCAGCGCGGGGCCGCAGCCTGTTGGAGCGCGGGGGCTGCCGTGCCGGGGGCGCTGGGAGCCCTGCGGGGGACGGCGCGGCCCGGCTCCCTGTGCGGAGCAGTTTTCGCGAACTCTCCACCTCCTCCTCACTGGGGCCCAGCGCTGCCGGGAGACCCCGTCTACATCTAAGGAAGGTAAGCCGACTTGGCCATTTAGGGGTCGCTTGTCCCCAAACCACAGCCAGAGGTCGAGGGTGGGGAGCGGAGGATGGGGGCGGCACGTACGTAGGAAGCGAACGAAAAAAAATGCAACAGGCGGGGCGGTTCAGGAAACTCTAGCGTTAATGTTTCCTACCGAGAGGAGACTTGTCCAAGACTGAAACTTGGTTAGGTTCTTCAAATCCGAAGACGGGCCGAGGCGACGCTGCACCTTAGTCTGGGTCTGAGCTCCCTCTGGTGGCCTCTTGTAAGGACGGACGACGAGGCTCCAGGTGAGGTTTGGAGCGCCGTTGCTTGCTCCCACGCGTTCTCAGGATTTCTCCTTTGAGAAACGTGACTGCTCTCAGTAGTTTCCCCTACAAAGGCATCCTTTGATCCCGTAAAAGCTAATCCCGCAACCGGAATCAGAAAAAGTCCTTTCAACTTCTGCTTTTTGTCCCTGAGTTCTTTGCGACCAAACCAACAAGAATGATAGCAGGAGTCATTTTTGTGTTAACCGCACTTGAATAAAAACAGGTTAAATGAGTCAAGCCAGCCCCAGTTAAAATAAATGCTGCAGGAAAGTTGCATCTTGGAGCTGCTGGTCATCTGCCACCATTCATTGTTATCCTAACGTGCATTAAAAGTGTAAGAAAAAAAAGAATCACTTGAGCTAACTTAGGTTGTATTCAATTACAGATTTTATCGTGATTCTTAAAACTTGTGTCAAGAGATTGTAGAACCTTTTAAGTCGTCAGTTCATGTCCACTCCCAGCATATCTGTAGCCTCAGAGAATTTCTTTTTGTTTTTCCTCCAGAAAGGAGTGTCATGAAAAAGGAACAGAAAAGAACCGGCATTCTTGGTCAAAGGGGAGTTTTCTTTTCCAGTTGGTGGTTACTTCATGATTGGAAACGAAGTACCTAGGTGGCTGAAGAGATTAGATTTTTATAGTTGAACAGATGGAGCTGATAAAAGAAGACATGAAAATACTTTCTCGGGGTCATAATGGGCAATGAGTAAGTAAGCCTGAACAAGACAGATTTGAAATGAGGGCAGAACTTTTGATTTTTTAAGACCAAGTAGGACTTTGAACACTTGTTGAGGATGTTCTTTTCCCAAAACTGGAAGAAGAAAACATCTGCAAAGCAAAGGTGTAAAAAGTGGAAGGGAGTAACAGCCAAGAATTTCAGCTTCAAGAATTTCAGTACATCATCAACTCCTTCGGGCAGACACAGGCACAAGGATCATACGTGGGGGTGATGGTTTCCTATCCTAGGAACAACTTTTTAATTTGGATTTTGGAGTTCTTATTTTTCTTTCTTTCTTTCTTTTTTTTTTTTTTTTTTTACAATTTGTGTTTTGACTCTTCATGTTAGATAGATTTATGTAAAGGAGGTAAATCCTGAATTCATAGTATGTTTGACTCTACCACACTGTTTGCTCTGTGATATGGAAACATTAGAGGTTTTAACATTCCTCGAAGTTTTATGGGAAGCAAATCTGTGTCAGGGACACAGTGTAAGTTTTCTCCTTTTGGCAACCCACCTTGCTTTGAATGAACTGAATGTCAGCTGGATTTCACGGCATATCTGATTTACAGTCTTTGTGTTGTCAAGGCCTTAAATGTTATGCTTTATCCTAGGCAGATGGGAAATACCTTGAGCCCTGTGTTTGACATGTATGCCTAAGGAAGGGAACTCCCCGATGGATCATGGCGTTAATGTTTACAGGACATTTCTTATTTTTAGCATTAGTGATGTTGGCTTTCTCTACTTTTGAGGAATCTGTGAGCAATTACTCTGACTGGGCAGTTTTCACCGATGATACAGATCAGTTTAAGACACAGAAAGTGCAAGATTTCAAACCCAGTCCAAAGCTGAAGAAAAGTATGCTTCATCCAAGTTTATATTTTGATGCTGGAGAAATCCAGGCAATGAGACAAAAGTCTCGTACAAGCCATTTGCATCTGTTTAGAGCTATCAGAAGTGCAGTCACAGTTATGCTGTCCAACCCCACATACTACCTACCTCCACCCAAGCATGCTGATTTTGCTGCCAAGTGGAATGAAATTTATGGTAACAATCTGCCTCCTTTAGCACTGTACTGTTTGTTATGTCCAGAAGACAACGTTGCCTTTGAGTTTGTCTTGGAATTTATGGACAGGATGGTTGGCTACAAAGACTGGCTGGTTGAGAATGCACCAGGGGATGAGGTTCCAATTGGCCATTCCTTAACGGGTTTTGCCACTGCCTTTGACTTTTTGTATAACCTACTAGATGATCATCGAAGACAAAAATACCTGGAAAAAATATGGGCTGTTACTGAGGAAATGTATGAGTATTCCAAGGTCCGTTCGTGGGGCAAACAACTTCTCCATAATCACCAAGCTACTAACATGATAGCATTACTCACTGGGGCTTTGGTGACTGGGGTAGATAAAGGTTCTAAAGCAAACGTGTGGAAACAGGTTGTAGTAGATGTGATGGAAAAGACGATGTTTCTGTTGAATCACGTTGTTGATGGTTCTCTAGACGAAGGTGTGGCCTATGGAAGCTACACAGCTAAATCAGTCACACAGTATGTTTTTCTAGCCCAGCGTCATTTTAATATCAACAACTTGGATAATAACTGGTTAAAAATGCACTTTTGGTTCTATTACGCCACCCTTTTACCAGGCTTCCAAAGAACTGTGGGTATAGCAGATTCCAATTATAATTGGTTTTATGGTCCAGAGAGCCAGTTAGTTTTTTTGGATAAGTTTATCTTAAAGAATGGAGCTGGGAATTGGTTAGCTCAGCAAATTAGAAGGCACCGACCTAAAGATGGACCAATGGTCCCCTCCACTGCCCAGAGGTGGAGTACTCTTCACACTGAGTTCATCTGGTATGATCCCCAGCTCACCCCACAGCCTCCTGCTGAATATGGTACTGCAAAAATGCACACATTCCCAAACTGGGGTGTTGTCACCTATGGGGCTGGGTTGCCAAATACACAGACCAATACCTTTGTGTCTTTTAAGTCTGGGAAGCTAGGGGGGCGAGCGGTGTATGACATAGTTCACTTTCAGCCATACTCCTGGATTGACGGGTGGAGAAGCTTTAACCCAGGACATGAACATCCAGATCAGAACTCATTTACTTTTGCCCCCAATGGGCAAGTGTTTGTTTCTGAAGCTCTCTATGGACCCAAGCTGAGCCACCTTAACAACGTACTGGTGTTTGCTCCATCACCCACAAGCCAGTGTAATAAGCCCTGGGAAGGTCAACTGGGAGAATGTGCACAGTGGCTCAAGTGGACCGGCGAGGAGGCTGGTGATGCGGCAGGGGAAATTGTCACTGCCTCTCAGCATGGAGAAATGATATTTGTGAGTGGGGAAGCAGTGTCTGCTTACTCTTCAGCAATGAAGCTGAAAAGTGTGTATCGTGCTTTGCTTCTCTTAAATTCCCAGACTTTGCTAGTTGTGGATCACGTTGAGAAGCAAGACAATTCCCCAATAAAATCTGTCAGTGCCTTCTTTCATAATCTGGACATCGATTTTAAGTATATCCCTTATAGGTTTATGAACAGGTACAATGGCGCCATGATGGATGTGTGGGATGCACACTACAGAATGTTCTGGTTTGATCATCGTGGCAATAGTCCCATTGCTAGCATACAGGAAGCAGAGCAAGCTGCTGAATTTAAGAAACGGTGGACTCAATTTGTTAATGTTACATTTCAGATGGAATCCACAATCACAAGAATTGCATATGTCTTTTATGGGCCATATGTCAATGTTTCCAGCTGCAGATTTATTGATAATTCCAATTCTGGACTTCAGATTTCTCTCAATGTCAATAATACTGAACATGTCGTGTCCATTGTAACTGACTACCATAACCTGAAGACAAGATTCGATTACCTGGGTTTTGGTGGCTTTGCCAATGTGGCTGATCAGGGCCAAATAACCCGATTTGGTTTGGGCACTCAAGCAATAGCCAAGCCCGTAAGACAAGGTAGGGTTATTTTCCCCTTTGGATTTAAATTTAATATAGCAGCTGGGTTGATTTTGTGCATTAGCTTGGTGATTTTAACCTTTCAGTGGCGGTTTTACCTTTCTTTTAGAAAGCTAATGCGGTGGGTCCTGATGCTTGTTATTGTCTTGTGGTTTATTGAGCTGCTGGATGTGTGGAGCACTTGCACTCAGCCCCTCTGTGCAAAATGGGCAAGGAAAGAGGCCGAGGCAAGCCCGAAGTCCTTGTCTTCCGAGGGGCACCACCTCGATCTTCCCTACGTCGTCATTACCTCACTTCCTGGTTCAGGAGCTGAGATTCTCAAACAGCTTTTTTTCAACAGTAGTGATTTTCTCTACATCAGAGTTCCTACAACCTACATCGATATTCCTGAAACTGAATTTGAAATTGACTCATTTGCAGATGCCTGTGAATGGAAGGCATCAGATATCCACAGCGTGCATTTCCGTTTACTCCGAGGCTGGTTGCAGTCCTTGGTTCAAGACACGAAACTACATTTGCAAAACATCCATCTGCATGAACCCAGTAGGGGTAAACTGGCCCCATATTTTACAGCAAATAAGGACAAAAAAAGAAAATTGAAAAGGAGAGAGTCTTTGCCAGAACAAAGAAGTAGAATGAAAGGCACCTTTGATAGAGATGCTGAATATATTAGGGCTTTGAGGAGACACCTGGTCTATTACCCAAGCGCGCGTCCTGTGCTCAGCTTAAGCAGCGGGAGCTGGACCTTAAAGCTTCATTTTTTTCAAGAAGTTTTAGGAGCTTCTATGAGGGCATTGTACATAGTAAGGGACCCTCGGGCATGGATTTATTCAATGCTGTACAGTAGTAAACCAAGTCTCTACTCTTTGAAAAATGTACCAGAACACTTAGCTAAATTGTTTAAAATAGAGGGAGGTAAAGGCAAATGTATCTTAAATTCAGGCTATGCTTTCGAGTATGAATCGTTGAGGAAAGAATTATCAAAATCCCAGTCAAATGCAGTCTCCCTGTTGTCTCATTTGTGGCTAGCAAACACAGCAGCGGCCCTGAGAATAAATACAGATTTGCTGCCTACCAGCTACCAGCTGATCAAGTTTGAAGATATTGTACATTTTCCTCAGAAAACCACTGAAAGGATTTTTGCCTTTCTCGGAATACCTTTGTCTCCTGCTAGTTTAAACCAAATATTGTTCGCCACCTCCACAAACCTTTTCTATCTTCCCTATGAAGGGGAAATATCACCAAGTAATACTAATGTTTGGAAACAGAACTTGCCTAGAGAAGAAATTAAACTGATTGAGAGCATCTGCTGGACACTGATGGAGCGTCTAGGATATCCAAAGTTTATGGACTAAATGCTGCAGGTCAGCAGAGATTTGCACTAATCCTTTGCAGCCCGGTTTGTGGATGTGACGAGTTTGTTTATTCTTGTACTATGTGTGCGTGCGTGCGCGTGTTCAGTTTGTTACTTGCACAGAGATTATTTTAAAAATAGGCCACATATTTGGCCTAGCAGGATTTATTTTTACGTCGCTACTTCCCTTGCCTTTGTTTCTGAATTTGTTTTCTGCTGAAATGTTCCTGCTACAGAGGCGTAGATGAAGTTATAGGATGGCGGTCAGTGGAGGTAAGAAGATTTTACAGGTTTTTGTCTGGCCGTCTCGTCTGTAACTGTGCTGATCGATCTTGGAACCTCAAACACTGCTAAAGACCTTTCAATTGCTGCTTTGCCCAAGCATCTGTTGCTTTCAGGATGGACTACAAAAGTTCCTTATCTTTTTTAAAAGATCTTCTAACACATTTATCTTGCACCAAAAAAAAAAGGGGGGGGGGTTGGTGTTTGTTTTGTTTTGTTTTGTTTTTTTCCTGTGTATAATGTTCGGTGATGTCACTGGGGAAATGGTGAAAGCTCCTATCAGAACTATAGAATTCTTTCTGGAAAATAAAGGTGGAAATACAGAACGAACATTTTTTTGAAGTCCGAGACAGTGGCCTGAAAAGCCTCCTTAAAGTTTTTTTACTTGGAAGGAACAAGGAGTCAGTCTTTGAACAACCTGGGTGCCAAGGGCTGGGAGAGTATTTTAGACTTGCTTGTCTGCTTAAAACTCTCTTCTCTCTCTTGCCTCCTTGAAGCTACAGCTGTTCCCACCCCTCACACCCTGTCCTTTCTGTCACTGTCATGCAAAATAACCCATTATTGATTGCTGAAGTCCCGACATTTGTGGGGATTTTTTTTTTCCCCTGATGATTAATCTTGCATTAAAGAATCGCACTTAGAATCGAATTTCTTTTTGTGGAATCCTCACCGTATGACTCAGAGAAAGCAGTACCAATGCTGCCAGTGTTTTTTTAGCCTGGAAACAGAATTGGAAACCTGCCCAGCTGATCCTGCATCCCTTTGAATGAGTTTGCAGACTGCCAGTGTCTGCAAAAGTTACAGGCAAATGGGAGATGACATCAGAGGCATCTGTTTCTTTTACCATCTGCATCTTATTATAAATGTAGTCGTCATAAAATCTGGTTCATTTTATTTTGGTAGGCTCTGAAATCAAAATGCCACGCCGTTAGATGCCGTTATAAGCCGGGGGAGTAATTACCACGCACTGGACGAAAACCATCAGGCGGTGTTGAGACCTGATGAAAATCTCTGTACAGATTGCAGTCTTTCTGACGTTTCAGACTGTCGTTTCCCCAAGCTCTCCAACACTTGCGAGTCTGTCCTTCTGACCTAGATAAAAGTGGTTCTTTCTCAGTAGTTTGTTATTATGTCAAAATGTGCCTCCAGAGTGATAAGGCTGTGGATATGTTCCATTCCAGCTAAACCTAACGTGGCTGTCATTTTTCTTCCATTATAGTGTGAATGCAGACCGCTCCTCCTCCCCCAGCTTTACTTCCTTCCCTCCGCTCTCCCTGCTTTCTCTCTGCAATGTCAAAAATGAATGGAAAATCGTATTTTATCAGTATAGGTTGAGAGGGCAGCTGAAACCTGAGTCTACACAGGTATTCTCAAGGAAGGTTATTCTACCTACCTCAGGGTTATCAACAAGCACGTAAAATTGCTGCATGGATGATAACACTCTTTCCATTACTGGTCAGAGTCTCAGTGTTTGCTTTCAATTCCCAGGATGTGTGATCTCAAATCGGATCAAATCAAAAGGCTTTGGGTTGGCAGTAATAGCAGGTCTGATCAAGGTAAGACTTACACATGTGTACAGAAGCTGAACCGCTCCCTGTTAGTATTGCAGAAACACCCCCAAGGGGAAGGAGAGAACCAGGTGGGCTATGTGGAGGAATCGGAGGAGAGGGGGGGGAAAATGAAAAAAAAGCAGTTGTGTGGATGAGCATGGGGACATGTTACTGATAGCTGAAGAAAGGGGCACATTTCCCAAAGTGATCTTCACAGTGTGTCCTAACTTTCGCCCCCACACAGCAATGCCAAGATGAATTTGCCTGGCACTGTACTCACCTCCCCCCACCCAAGGGAAGGTCTGCTGGAAGAGACCTCTATCTGCAGAGTCCCCTTTGAGGGACATTATGGGTGAGGGACGACCCAGGCGCTGGATCTGCACGCAGATGTTCGTGCTTGGGACCCCTTGCCTTATAATACCTGAGGTGACTAACTCCCAGAACGTCCAGGTCCTGCATCCTTAGGGTGTCAGCTTCAGAAAAATTCCGATAGCCTCCACACTTAATTTTATTCGTATCGTCTTGAAAATCATTAAAGGGATGATTGTCACTATGTGACTCTTCTAAAGGAGACACCTGTCCTCTCTGTAAAATTAACCCCTTTCTTTATTAACTTCCCCGAACTTAGGCCTAACTGGGATAAAAACTGTTACTAAAATAATAGAATTTAGGTCTTGAAATTAAAAAAAAAAAAAGACAGTTTTGCTGACAAGGGTAACAAATGCAATGGTAATAATATGGTTCTCAAAAGTTTGAAATAATGCAAATTACTCACTTAGGACGAAAGAATAAGGCCATATCCAGAATTGAGTTTAAAGAATTTCTGGAGAGGATAGGAAGTGAGAGACTCTTCAGGAAAAGCAAGATGAATTTATGAGTATGCTTAAATTTCATTGATAGAAACCTAGAGAGGCACAAGTTTTAAGCAAATGACAAGAAAATGTACATATTAGGAAAGCACCTGTTAATAAAGGCCTATAAATAAATCAAACATACATATGAGATCTAGACCCCAAACATTAGGCATCATCTGATTGGCTGTCTTTTTAAACCAACAGAGAAGAGTTAGTAAAAGCCTGACAAGAACGGGATGTTAAACTCCCAGGCAATGGCAGAGGACTTGCCACAAAACCCTCAGCAAATGCATTCAAAGAAGCAGTTCCCCTCCACCCACACTAGGGCATCTTAAAGATTTTCCTTTTGTGGAAATGTTACCCCTCTGCCAGTTACTTCTGGGTAACGTGGTTTATCAGCACTTTTGGGTGCATCATTGAAGATCCCAGCCATTCTTGTTACGTAAAGGATATCCAATTACCTGTGAGTAGACATTAGCAATGTTTTTTTTTTTTAATTTTTTTATTGTTATGTTAATCACCATATATTACATCATTAGTTTTTGATGCAGTGTTCCATGATTCATTGTTTGTTCATAACACCCAGTGCACCATGCAAAACGTGCCCTCCTCAATACCCATCACCAGGCTAACCCATCCCCCCACCCCCCTACCCTCTAGAACCCTCAGTTTGTTTTTCAGAGTCCATCATCTCTCATGGTTCGTCTCCCCCTCTGACATACTCCCCTTTTCTTCCTCTCCTGTTATCTTCTTCTTTTCCTTTTTTCTTAAAATATGTTGCGTTATTTGTTTCAGAAGTACAGATCTGTGATTCAACAGTCTTGCACAATTCACAGCGCTCACCATAGCACATACCCTCCCCAATGTCTATCACCCAGCCAC